ATGAATTTGTTGCCATTTCATGGTCATACAGGCAAGTGTGTGGCAGCAAGGAGGCTTTTAAAAAAATGAATTGCACAGTCGAGTGCACTCAGTGCAATAATATATACCAACTTGCATTTTTATTTAACTTTGCAGTAGTGTGTGTGCGTGTGTGTATAGTTAGTGGACGCCTAAGTGTTCATAGGCAGGTGAGTTTTGGAGTTGACGGCGCAGAGGGTGGTAAAGTGGACGCGAAAAGGCATAAACTGCTGATATATGTGACTTTTATGCTGCTCCACATTACTATTGCGCAGTTGGTTGTTGTTCCTGTTGTGCAATGCTGACTGCCATCCAATGTTGTCTGTTACAATTGTCCGCACACAACAGGCTCATAAAAAATTAGCATATTTGCACACACACTCATACACTAGATACTAGTACATGTTGGCCTGCATATATTCATATGAGCATTTATCCCCACATCCTGGTTCACTTAATTCGCACAAACATACTACTCACACACAGACTCATGTCCTTTCATTTGTATATATTTACGAATTTGTGCCATGAGATTTCCATCCTTTTTATTTATGTACAGGTGTGAGTATGCTCTCTGTTTTAACAGTAATTTTTTGCCTTTTCTGTGGAAGAGTTATATTCTTATTTGTACCAAGGAGAAAAAAGATTTTGAAGCACTGCAAATACAGGCTGAATACTAGCACCGCAAAATACTTGCAAATGTGATGGTTTCCAAGGTTCGTTAACCTCTTGGAAAAAAGGATAATGAATCCCTATGCAGGGACATAATGCAAAAAAGAATTTTTCAAAATTTTTAAATTATGTGATATTTTTAGTATTTCAAATGCAAGCATTTCTAAGATTTAATTTTGAACTTCATGGCTTGCACTTTAATTCGCCTAAAATATACGAGACGGTACTACATGCTTTCTTTAAGAAACAAATATACATACATAGTAGTATGAATGTGGCATTAGCATTGTAGCCGCTTGAGATATTTCCATTGGGCTTCATAAAGGATGTCTGAAAGCGGCTACATACATGGTATAATGAGTTCCAAGCCACAAAAAAATTTTGAGCAACTAAAATAGCTGATGAATTTGCCAAAAGTGTCATCTATCATAGCAGAAATTGCAGGGAAATTAGCGTGAGACGCTGGAAAACCTGCATGCTCAAATTAAAGTAAACTTCCATGGGGCATCAGCAGTTATATATGTATGTGTATATGTATGTACTATATGTCTAACCTAAGATAAGACATCATTCAATTGTTCAGAAATTTCAACTAAGGATATTTGTTTTTTTTGTTGTCGCAAAAATCATTCCTAAATAAAATTTTGAACAGTTTTCATTCTTTAGCAGGCTCGTATTTCGTCCAATGCAGTTGGCAGACATGCCAGAAGATTTGCAACACCATATAGTGACTATTGTAAAAGCTGCCAGGAGGTAGAAGAAGAAGAGACTATATAACATAGTATACGTGCATGCAAAGGTTTGTATAGGAAAAGAATCGCAACTATCAGTCGAGAGTTTATTGGCGATGTTGCGGAGGTTTTGCACAGAGAAAACTTTATGTACTAAAGGACCTCATTAGAAGCATTTACTGCACTGTTGCGGTGACTAACGGTAGATGGTGTTCAGAGCATACAAAGTTATGGACGGAATGCTTCTCCAGCCTGCTGAACGGCTGTGAAAGTGTAACATTTGGAGAAGGCGCATCAGATTCTCCAATCGATGACGATGAAATTGATGTTCCACTGCCCGACTATGAGAACTGACAAGGTGCATGCAACAGGATATGGTCGGTTGAAAGCATGCCCGATAATTGGGGGGCTTTGCCCAATCCACAAAAAGGTCTTATTTTTCCGGAATATTTATTGTCCTTTGCGCACTGGCAACGCAGTAGATGGAACGATAAGCTGCACGAGATATGCAACAACATATACTAGGTCATGTTGTCCGTATGAAAGAGAATACTCCAGCTTTGAAGGTTTTCGATTCAGTACCCGCCGAGAAAGAAGAAGACATCCACTCCGTTGGAGAGATTAGTTGGAAAAGGACATAGCAAAAAGAAGAAGCGACTGGTGTGCTGTTGAAAATCCGACTATAACCCCGTAACCGGTGTCTATGCCAGTAAAGAAGAAGATATCAGATCACTATAAAGTGTAGCTGTCATAAAAACTGACTTCCAAATCAGTTCTTGCATGAAAAACCTTTTTTATTTGACAAGAAATCTTCACAAAATTTTGCGTAGACTACCGTCCAAACAACGCTACACTCTCCCAAGAGATTGGCCCACCATAGCATATGGCTTCCATACAAACTTAACGATCGGAATCAAGTGCTTGAATGATAAACTTTTTTTGTTAACGAGATATCTTGACGAAATTTTACAGGGATTATTATCTAAGGCCATCCTACAATCTCCGATCAAATTGATCAGATCGAACCATCTTGGCATATAACTGACATACAAACTGGCCGATTAAAATCAAATTGTTTTAAGGAAACTTTTTTCTTTGTGAACGGTATTATAGCCGAAGTTAATGGCGTTATCGTTGACTTTACAGAATTATTCCAGGTAGTATTTCGTATATCGAATATGGTAAAAGAGAATAGTTAATTTCATTTAAGCTATTACGATGGTTTCTAAACTAATACAGAACTCTTTTAATTTTTGATCTAAATGTTTCACTGGGAAATTGGGTTATGATGGACACACAATATACAATATAATTAGAACTTTATAGACCTTTTTGTAACCCCGCAGAGATTTCCTATATACTACTTTGATCAAATTGAAAGGTGAATTTTGTCCATTGCATCTCCTTCAAAGTAATCCCCTCCTGCTGCTATACACCTATGCCAACGAATTTTCCAGTCATCAAAGCAATTGGAAAAATCGTCCATGATGGCCATCACAGCCTTCTTCGATTTAGCTTTTATATCCTCAATTAAGTCAAAACGGTGTCCTCGGAGTGGTCATGGTCATGAATTTGCTGAATAGCCAGAAGTTACACGAAGGTAAAATCAGGGTAATGCGGTGGTTGCGGAACGATATTAGTTGAAAATATGGTGAAATGATCACGAATAACCAATGCAGTATAAAGCAGAAATATAAATTAAAAATTCACCTTTCAATTTGATCACAGTAGTATGTACGTTAGCTACTTATGTCGTAAAAGTAATATTCATTCACTTACCTCTGCAACATCGAGATTCAGTATCAGACATTTCATATAACTCGATCGTTAAAGTACACATTTTCACACACACTCACGCACTTATTTTAAACTTAACTTAAATGAAATTAACTGAAAATAGAAAGAAAATAAAATAATATATGAAATACGAAATGAAATGAATACTTGGAAATGAGAAATAAGGATAATTGAGAAACTTATGTGATGTGTGTTTGTAAATGTTTATAAGTATATATGATCAAAACATAAAAATTACTAATTAAAAAAAAATACAAAATAAAAATATTGATTAAAAAAATAAAGTAATACAAAAACAAATAAAAATTCAATAAAAATTAAATTAATAACGTAAAAAATAAAACCAATTAAATAAAATCAAATTTAAAAAGTTGTAATTAAAAATTAACTTTAAAAAATTATAAAAATTGTAAACAAAACGAATTTAATTAATTAGTAATAAGAAGTAAAAAATAAAAAAAAACAATAAAATAAAAATAATAAACAAAATCAATCAAATAAAAAAATTATACATTCCCAACATTATATTATTAACGTAATAGACGAAGAAGGTGTTCTATATTCTTACATATGTATGTATGTACATAAATATAAGAGTATAGCTTATGCGATTTCCTAGCTTAGGTCTCAGATTTGTTTGTAAAATTATGTGTATACATATGATCAAAATTAAGAAGAAAAAAAAAACAATTTA